TCCCTTCCACATATGTCTAGGGAATTTTTTCCTAATGTAAAGTCTTTGTCCCCAAGCACAGAGCTGTGAGTGGTACCTGGTGTCATAACTCCCTATTGTGCCAAGAAAAGAAGCACAATATTGGCCCTAGGCATCATTTCTCTATTCAGATTCTATCTCCTTGAAAGTTTTAGTCTACTGAAATATTACAAGTGTATTGAGGTTCTTGAGTTACCTAGCCCTCTGTCCCAACATCCTTAAACATTTTTCTATTCCCAGATTCCTTCTCTCAAGTTCATCCATAGAACATGTTATAGATAGTTGAAAATTTTTCCAGTGACAAGAACTATGAACATTCTGCCAGCTAATTCAACATACAAACGAGTTATCTCATCACTGTTCCATGGCAGAAGATTTGAGAGTCCTGGTTCAGAACAAAGACTTTATTCCTCATGACGCAGCAGTGACATGAAGCTTCCTGTTAACAGTTGTGCCTCTATCTTCCTTAATATCACACAAGGATGGCATGAAGTGGCTTTCTTTAGATCTTGTACATTCAGGCATTCCTTCCCAAGTGACCCCTTGCTGTATTTTGTTGCTGCACTTAACTTTCTTAAAACCATCACTCTCAAGGCCAGGTGTTAAGGCACATGCATGCAGCTGATGGCTGACCTGGTTTGCTCCTTTGCAACAGGATCTCTTGGTTGCCTGAGGATCCCAGAGTATGACACTAAAGCCGCACTACTACCCACAGCACCACCACCTGTGGCCCTGATGGCCCCTAAGCATGGTCCAGAAAGCCATGGTTAGCCTGGCACCTGCAAGATGCAAGCAGCATCCACACTAACATCGAACTAAACCCTGTTGGCTGAATTGTTGCTGGGGCAGTCGGGGCCAGAGTGTGAGGTACCAGCTTCTGAACAATACTTAGGAAACATACCCCCCCCCCAAAAAACAACTAAAATATATCTCACTTTCCTACATTCAAAACCTTCTGATGGCCTACTCTCTGTCATTGTATGGAATCTAATTCCAGTGCCTAATTTCCAAGAACAGCATGGTTTGTAATAAGTAAATTCAATTTTTCAAGATTTGATTGCTGAATTTCATTAATTTCTTTCAAAAAGAAATAAAAGTCAATTTAGGTCAACTAAATGCTAACTATAGCTGTTCAATCTTACCTAAAACTGGAACTCATCAACAGTGCTATTTTATTGTCTGCTTTCCCCTCCTGTAGACTCTTATTGTCTTTGGTGTGTGTGTCACAGTTTGTTATTTAGGTTCATGTCATCTTGTAAAGGACAGGTTCCCATAATGTTACTCCACACAAGCTGTATCACAACATGAAACTATTCACTGATGAATTGATCGTTATAAATATACTTTCCAAAGGATAGACTTCAAACCTATTAAAATGATTACCTCTGACAAAGAGGGAGCAGAAATGGAAGGAAAATAGTGGTACACTGTCATTTTTATGTCTAATAGTCTTTTGAAAGAAGAATCTATTCATGTTGAGGGAGATGATTCCAACAATCTTCCCCTGGCTGCTTATTCTTTGTCCTGGGAGTTGGCTGCTGCTTCTATAAAGAGATGGAATCAATTTCTAAGCCCTTGCATCTGGGCTTAGCCTGTGACCCCCCTGAACCACAAGAATGTGGTGGAAGTGACAGGGAGAGAGTTCCAGAGACAAGACTTAAAATACCCGACTGCTTTTGCTTCTACTTCCATGGTGCACTGAATCATCGTGTAAGGACACTGGCTTCTTTAACAGAGAAGTGGAGAGTGGCTAGCGGTCGAAAGTCCAGAAGAAGAAATCCAGCATTGTAAAGGTCGCAGTTTAGGAACCAGAGATGTGGCTGAGACTACTGCAAATCTTCAACCCAGGTTCCAGCTGAATCAGTACGTCTAGCAGAGATGACCCATTCCAGTCAGGCCCTGCTGAGCCAATCCCATGATTATGCGATTGGCTAGTAAATAAAACTCATGATAGTCTTCAGATACTTGTATTTTAGGTGGATTTTGACACAACAGATAACTAAATATTGCAAATCTTTTCAAAAAAAATTTTTTTAAAAAATTACCAGCAATTGGTGGGAATGCCAACTGGTTCAGCCCTTCTGGAAAACAGTATGGATGATTCTCAAAAAATTAGAAATCGAGCTCCCATTTGACCCAGCAATACCACTCCTGGGAATATATCTCAGAGAGGCAAAAATGTGTAGTCGAAGTGACATCTGCAATTGTTTGTTCATTGCAGCACTCTTTACAATAGCCAGAATCTGGAAAAAACCTGAGTGCCCGAGAACAGATGACTGGTTAAAGAAACTTTGGTACATTTACACAATGGAGTACTATGTAGCTGTTAGAAAAGATGAAGTCATGAAATTTACATACAAGTGGTACTACATGGAAAGTATCATGCTAAGCGAAATGAGTCAGAAAGAGAGGGATAGACATAGAAAGACTGCATTCATCTGGGGAATACAAAGTAACAAAATAGGAGACTAATACCCAAGAGTGGCCGAGATTAGTAACAGGAGTTCTGCTCCATGGCCTGGAGTCCAGCCACACATTCTAGGGGGAAACAGAGCTCAGATAGAGAAGAAAGGGTGTTGGGAAGATCCTCCCAGGACAGGAGAAGCATGCTGAAAGTAGACTATCGACCAAACATGATTGCCACTCAATGCCTCTTTTTCAGACCACAGCACTCAAAAGGAGAGAGAGGGAAATGCCCTGCCACAGAGGCAGGGTGGGATGGGGGCTGGGGGGGGGGGGGAAGGGATACTGGGATCCATGGTGGTGGGAAATGCGCACTGGTGGAGGGATGGGTGTTTGATCATTGTATAATTGAAACCCAAGCACAAAAATTTGTAAATCTACAACTGTACCTTATGGTGTTTCACTAATAAAATTTTTTTAAAATGGCCAGCAAGATAGTACAGAGGGCCTTGTACTTATTTTCCATGCAGCCAATGTTGGTTCAGTTGCCAGCACCACATATGAGACCCCTAGCATCACTAGCAGCCCTCTGAGCACAAAGCCCCTGAGCACCTCCAAGTGTGGCCCCAACACTCAATAAATTATAAATAAGCCCATGTACACAATTTCATTTTGTTTAACAACTGGCCCCTTTCTCCTCACCACATCTCCATCTCTTAAATGTTTCCATTCAGCTAACAATTTCCAGCAAGGCAATGCAAAAATCAGTGCTGATCAATGCAAAGCAGGGTAAAGTGATCATAATGTGAAATGTCAAATCTTTTCAAATATGTAAAAAAAAATCGTGAAACTGATGAAGGTAATGTGAGAGAAGTCCTTGAATCATGGGAAACTCTTGACAAATGAGAATCTGCAGCTCAAATAGTTAACATTTAAAGAAGAAAAAATCCAGACTGATAATGGTACAAAGAGCACTTCTAAAGGGAATGATTTGAATGTCAGAATTTAAAGAGTGCCTCTTGAGAAATTGATGAAGCCCTCAAATATTTTTGTACTAATGCCCCTCTATGATTTGCCCACAGAAGTCAAATGTGAAAGGATATTATATCATGATCCTGTATGATTTTGGTTGATTGTACTGCTCAAAGTCAACACTTCATCCTTTGCTATAATATTGAACACATTCTTGACCAACTAAATTTTTATTCTAGTTAATTTTCATAATTGCATTACATTTTTAAAGAGATATTCCTAGCATTTTTTTTTGCTTTAACACCATTTTAAAAGGATTTGTTTTAAGTAGTTTTGAGGGATACCAGTTATTTGAAGAAATTGGGGATCTCAGTCAATATCTTTCATTCTTTTCCTTTTACAGCAGGTGTACTCACTGAAGCAAAGGTCTTAGGTCATACCTTATTCATATCCTCTGCACAAGTTTTGCAGCACAGAACTGAGCATCAAGTTGAGGTTCGCGCATTGAATGAAATGGTAGCAAATGAACTGCTGACTGAGTAATTGGCTTCTGTGTAGATTTTACTGTTGAGGAACATAACTTTGCCATGGTCAATCCCTGATTCAGTAAGAACAGACATTTGTTCTTCTCAAAACTGTTCATAGAAGGCCTATTACAAACTTCCTGCTGAAAATATTTCCAAAGGCTGGATACATTTAAAAACAATCCAAGCATGCAAAGTCATTTTAGAAAATAAGCCCGACATCCCAAGGGTTCGGCTGAGGAAGGCCACGTTTTAGAACAGGTGTGCCACTTCACTGAACAGGAATTTGGAAATGTCAAGCATTAGAAGCACTTCAGAAACTACAACCTGCCAGACAGCCACCGTTCTAGGCATGTGTCAATAAATGCTTGGCAGAGACGGTACATGGGCATTTGAGAAATCATTCAGCAGGAAGTCAGAATTAGTTCAAGTACATCCACAGGTCTTACTTTACTGTTCTAGTTTTTCCTCTGTCAACTTTCTTCTCACATAAAACTATATGTATCTGCATATAAAACAGTGGTCACTCCAGTCTTCCAAGGGCCATCTCTCACAAGGGGACAGAATAGTTTGTCAGTTGTGTTGACATTCCTTTAATTCTGACTCTTTCAACTCGTCTCACATCACCACTGGAAAAGTAATGAAAACTGGGCCATTTCCTTTCTCTTTATCAGAATTACTCCCAGTCCTCTAGAAACGAAACATTAGCAATCCAAATCTGACTTCCAGTACCCTTTAAACTCAGCCCCTCCCAGTAGAACCTCCAGGGAGCGTTCTGCAGCCTGGTCAGTCAGTTCCAAGGCAAAGGCAAACAGTACTTTCCGTTAAAATAACTTGTATCCAGGAAAAAAAAAAAAAACAGGTGCCCTGTTGCATCTGTAGCGTAGCAGCCAGAGGAAAGTTTACTAGCTTCAGCCAATGGTCGGTGGTGGAGCTGAGCCAAGTGGGCCTGTTTTCCTCCGCCTCTAGATGAAGTCATGATAGAAATATGACATTGAACTTGCTTTCAAAGAGGAAGAGGAGTAAAAGAGAAAAGCTCAACCCGCAACACAGTGTCCTGTGCACAGGAACGCAGTTAGGAAGTGTGTGCATGCTTCTGAACCCTGAGTGGTTCTCGCCTCCCACTGGGTGGAGCAGAGCTTTTAAGAGCAGCTGGAATGCAGTTTCCCTAATCAGTGCAGCCAGTTGTTGCCTGTCTGAACCTCAGCCAGTCCTGGACGGCAGTGCTCTGAGCTCCGACCCGGAGGCCCTGGTCCCATACCTCTCAGCAGCACACTTTCACAGCTGAATAAGAACAACGTGGTCACCCAGGCAGCCATGGGAGAGGACGCTGCCCAGGCTGAGAAGTCCCAGCACCCGGGTGCTGACATGCGGCAGGAGAAGCCAGGAAGCCCCAGCCCTGTGCCCTCCTCCACGCCGAGCCCCAGCCTGAACCTGGGGAGCACGGACGAGGCGATCCGCGACAACGCACAGGTGAACGCCGTCACGGTGCTCACGCTGCTGGACAAGCTAGTGAACATGCTGGACGTGGTGCAGGAGAACCAGCACAAAATGGAGCAGCGGCAGATCAACCTGGAGGGCTCGGTGAAGGGCATCCAGAACGACCTCACCAAGCTGTCCAAGTACCAAACCTCCACTAGCAACACGGTGAACAAGCTGCTGGAGAAGTCCCGCAAGGTCAGCGCCCACACGCGTGCTGTCAAGGAGCGCATGGACAGGCAGTGCGCACAGGTGAAGCGGCTGGAGAGCCACCACGCACAGCTCCTCCGACGCAATCATTTCAAAGTGCTCATCTTTCAGGTCAGTGCCTCCTCCTCCTTCTCCCAACTACCTTGGAGACTCCCACATTCACGGTCTCCGTCGGCCAGGTTCCACCGCCATTGATCCATCTATCTTGCCTGATGTGCACCTGCTATTGCCCCCATCTGCTTTCAGCAGGCAAATGTGAAATCTGCACAGGGGGTGGGAAATTCCCAGGTCAATTCAGCATAAACCCAAGGCTGAGCGTGAGGTATTGTTGGCCCCGGTCATTCATCTCCGTGTACCTGAATGTACTCCATACAGGGTGGGAAAGTGAGCAGGTGTGTGCATCCTAGCTGGATCAATTTGTCTAAAGGCCTTATGAATGTGGGTTTCACTGCAGCTTATTAGCTGGACTGGTAAAATAATTCAGTGCCTGTTTCTTAACTAGCTGTGGAAATGTAAGTGATCATATAAAGTTTCTTTTAGCGTTGGCTTTTTTAAAAAACAAGAAAGTCAAAGACATGATGGTGTAGAGTATTCCTTTGCCTCAAAGCTACCAAATGTTTGGGTCACTAACCAAGTAATGAAGACCGATTCCATCAGAGATGAATTGGCCTCTTCATTCTAAGATCCTCTCAACCAAAGAAATCTTGTTGAGTTCTTTTCTAGCAAATTATTAATAAAAATATGAAGCATGATTCTTCACTAGTATACACCATGTTGCCCAGAGAACACAACTATGACGTAAAATAAAAGCCAGCATATCAGTTGCAATCACAAAAGCTAGTCTTTTGTGAATATTCTCTCCTTAACATAGTTGACTAGGACTTAAAAAAACAAACTTTAAAAAAATTTTTTAACGCATCAATGGTGCAATTAGTGTAGCAAGAGGCTATTCAGGGACAGGAATATTGCGTGGTGCTGTTGTTCAGCCAAGTGGTGGGCATTTGTGAATCCAAGGGCCGTCCTGCCTAATGCTACAAGCCCTTCCGCCTGATGGAACCAAGCCAGGACAGAGCCAGGATGCAGTTGCTATCCCAGCCCCAGGGCCGGCTTGTTGTGACCATGTGAATAGGGAAGGGTTTCAAAGCCATGGAGGGCAGAGGCTATAACCAACTGTTTGATTGTGAAAGGCTCACAAGAGGAGCCTTCATCTCCCAAGAGAGATTCAGAAATTAAAATTTAAACCGAGGGAGCCTTCTTTTTCTAAATGAATCCACTCTGCCAAGTTAGAACCTAAGCTTCATTCCCCCCATAAAAGGAAAGACTCAGCTCTCTGCTTTTTTTGTCCTCTTCGAATTGCACTTGATGTAAAGCTTCGGGCAGCTGATGTCCTCCTGTACTGTACAGACATTTGAAGCTTGGAAATTTTTTATCTTTTAATGCAAATGGAATAGCTTTTCATGAACCAAATGAACTGCAAAGAGATGACAGTAACTAGGGTTTTTTGTTTTGTTTTGTTTGAAGCCCTATATGGTCCGTACTTTATTAGCCTAAAAGATATTAGAAATCGCAACTCTCCAGGCATTTCTAAATTAAATACTGATCTCCCAACAAAACCAAACATGTTCAGGCCTGTTTAATCTGAGTCATCAAAGGAAATTTCCCTCTTTCCAGCATGAATAAAAATTATCTCACCCTAGTCCTCAGTCAAAGAAAGAGGGGAAAGCATTTGTCTAATACTTCCTCTTTTGTCAGAATTAGGTTCTTGCTTTGCCACGGATGCTGGGGTCGTGGTGGAAAATGGGAAGGATATGTGACTAAAAAATTCAAGAGAATTGTAAATCTGACATTTGGAAAAAAAAAACAGTGTTGGAGGGCCTTAAAGACACGTACTGTTGCAAAGGCTTGTGATGGTCTCCTGTGTTGTCACATTAAACTGAAAGGTGTGAAATGACAGGCACAAATGGTAGGAATCTAGTGAGTGAAAGGTGAAAAGGGAGTGTGCACAGCCAGGACGGATGCTAGGGGAATGCAAAGCAGCCCTCCAGGCTCCATTCTGGGACCCTTAGCCAGCAGCCACCGAGGACACTTAGCATTTTAAGAAGCCAGAACCTAAAATACAATACACCAGATCTTCCTTTATCAAAGTAGGATTCCTGATTAGCCTAAAGGATAGTTCAAATCTCAACATTAAAGGTTCTATACAATATCTATTTTGAAAAAAAAATTACAAGAGCAGTTTCACAGTAGAAAGGTGTTCTTTCTTTCTTGTTATGGTAGTAATTATGCCAATAAATTATACATAGACTTACATGTGTGCTCTCTCTCACACACACACAGATACACATATCTGTGTGTGTATATATGTAATGCGTAGATATATCTTTACATACAGTAGTAGGGTCCCCTGCACACAGCCCGTCCGGCCAAGCAGGGTTTGATTCCTCCACCCCTCTCAGAGAGCCCAGCAAGCACCGAGAGTATCTCGCCCACACGGCAAAGCCTGGCAAGCTACCCGTGACATATTCAATATGCCAAACACTGTAACAAGTCTCATGATAGAGACCTTACTGGACCCACTCGAGCAAATCGATGAACAACGGGAGGACAGTTTTACAGTGCTACACATATAGATATGCAGCAAGTGGTATTCAGAAACTGCTCCTAGCACAGTGCTCAGAAATCCTTCCTGGTAGAGCTTAGGGAACCAAGGGGTGCCAGAAATAAAACTCAGGGCTCATGCATATAAAGCATGTTCTCCAACTCATAGATCTCTGATCCACTGAATAAAATATTAATTTGTGTTAAATAATGGCCCAGTTAGGAGTTGAGGACAGAAATTTTATTATGCAGACACTGGTTAAATGCCTAGTTTGACCATTCACCAACTCTATGATCTCTGGCAAATTTTAATAGTTTTTTTAAGTTTCTGTTTGCTTCTGTGTACACTGAGGATTTGGGGAGAAGGAGGTGACTTGTCCACACCTAATGGTTCTCAGGGCTTACAACTTGTTTTGTATTCAGGGGTCACTATTGGCAGTTCTGGGAATGGAGAGGTGACCTCAAGCAGTGCAGGAAATCAAAGATGGGCAGCATGCAAAGAAAGTGCCTCATTCCCATACTATTTCTCTGCTCCTACACTGAGAATATTAATACAAGCAAAAATAAATTTTTAATAGTGATAGCACAGCGGGTAGGGCATTTGCCTGGCACGTGGCTGGGTCGGTCGACCCGAGATCCATTCCTCCGCCACTCTTGGAGAGCCCAGCAAGCTACCGAGAGTATCTTGCCTGCACGGCAAAGCCTGGCAAACTACCCGTGACGTATTCGATATGCCAAATACAGTAACAACAAATTTCACAATGGAGACATTACTAGGCCCGCTTGAGCAAATTGATGAAACATGGGAGGACAGTGATACAGTGAATAGCAATAGCACAGCAGGTAGGGCATTTGCCTTGCACGCGGCCGACCAGGGTTCCATTCCTCCCCCCCTCTAGGAGAGCCTGGCAAGCTACCAAGAGTATCTCGCCCACACGGCAAAGCCTGGCAAACTACCCGTGACATATTCAATATGCCTAACACAGTAACGAGTCTCACAATGGAGACGTTACTGGTGCCCGCTTGAGCAAATGGATGAACAATGGGAGGACAGTGACAGTGACAGAGTAATTAGTAGGTCCTTTATATTCTGCTGAGTATCTTCCTCCATGTCATTTTATTTGCTCCCAATTAACAGATGAGGATACTGAGATTCAGAGAAAATAAAATATTATCTAAGGTTATTTAATCACAGGGAAAGCTGAGAGTTGTACTCACATTTCATTCCAAAGTATATGTCTCATCCCTTACAATGGATCTTTCTTCTCTTCTATCAGATCGAGTGACGGATAAATGGAATAACAGATTAAAACTGGTTAGTGACTGGAATAGTATAAATACTCAAGGAAAGAAATTCTTTCACAGTAGATCCAAAATGCATTTGTGCAAAAATTATTCTGTTTGGCTAATATCTTTTAGGCTAAAATCAAATTGAAGTTTTGACTCTTGAGTTAAAACTAATCTGGCCCTGCCCAGCACCTTAAAACAGCTATGCCTATCCCATTTCAGTTGGCAGCTATTCAAATGCACTTAGATACACTCAAACATGCACGTTCACCCTGCCTTGTCACACCTTGCCTTGTCTAAAAATCACCATGCTTAAATGGGTTTCAGATTTCTACCACTGCGTGAAAGCAACAAGTTCTTCCCTAAGGGCAACCCTAAATCGATCCTTCTAATAGCAATCTGGCCTTCACAGTGGGGATGGGGTGGGGGGGTAAGAAGGTGAGGGAGAAATGAATGTTTCTTATGTCTGCAGAGTGAGGACAGAAGACAATGTACCAGATATTATTTTGTGTCTCTAAGTAATCCATCACTTTCAGTCCACTTGGAGCCTATGATGGATTTTGCCTTGCTAAATTTGTTGGCTTTCTAGTTTAAGACGAAAATTCAATGTGAAAATGAAAGTACAGAGTGAGGAACGAAAGTCTGTCACCTGACTTGAGCACATTTAGTGCTGTGATATTTAGAAGGTAACATTTCCAGTTTTTTTTTTTTTAATCCTATTGTAGCCTCCAAAATCTACATTCCTTTTTCCTAGTTAGTTGGTTTGTAGATTGGTTTGATGACTTACTGGGTACATATATACATTCTTTTCATTCCAAACTTTGTCTTATTTATTTAAGACTCTGCTAAACTTACAAGGTTGTTGCAACTGTTAAGACTCCTCCTGCCTTGGCAATTACTTCAAATTATAACTAGTAGGTAAAACCGGAGAAAATTTATCTCCCTTTGAGCAACATAATGCATTGTAAAATCCTTGTTAATCTTAGAAGCTTTTCTTTAATTTTTTTATCATGGCTTCAAGCAATTTTTCAATGCAAAATACTATGGCAGAACCCAGTAAAATGAATAAGATTCACAGGAATTGCTGATCACAGAGCAAATCCTAAAGACTAATGAGACTAATTCTTTGCTTATAAATATGGCTATCTTTTACTAAAGATAGAATCTCTACAAATGTTAGTAAATCTACAATGTAGAGGAAATTTTCTTTACTGAATGAAAAAATG